TGCAGAGCCTTCTCTTGTTCTGGGCCCCACTCAAAACTAGCAGCTTTTTGAGTCACTTAATAGGCCAGAGTAGCATACCCACATGGAGAATATGTTGCCTCTAAAATCCAAAGAGACCCACTAAGTGTTGTGCATCCTTTTTAGTTGTGGGAGGGGCCATACGCAATAACTTATCCTTTATTTTAGAAGGACTATCTTGACATGCCCCCTACCACTAGACCGTTAGAAATTTCACTGAGGTGGAAGGTGCCTGAATTTTTGTGGCATTAATTTCCCACCCTCTAGCATGCAAATGTTTTATCAATAAGTCCAGTCATTGACACTTCTTCTTTACTAGGTCCAATCAGCATAATGTCATCAATGTAATGGACCAGTGTGACGTCTTGTATAAGGAAAAGGCGATCAAGGTCCCTGCGGACTAAATTATGACATATGGCTGGAGAGTTGATGTAGCCCTGCGGTAGGCAACTGAAGGTGTACTGCTGGCCTTGCCAGCTGAAGGCAAAGTGCTTCTGGTGGTCCTTCAAAATACGTGTGGAGAAAAAGGCATTAGCCAGATCAATAGCTGCATATCAGGTACCAGGAGATGTATTAATTTGCTCAAGCAATGAAACCACATCTGGAACAGCAGCTGCAATTGGAGTCACCACCTGGTTAAGTTTTCAATAATCCACTGTCATTCTCCGAGATCCATCTGTTTTTTGCATGGGCCAAATAGGCGTGTTGGATAGGGATGTGGTGGAAATCACCACCCCTGCATCCTTCAGGTACTTGATGGTGGCAGTAATCTCTGCAATCCTTCCAGGAATGTGGTATTGCTTTCAGTTTACTATTTCCCTAGGTAGGGGCAGTTCTAATGGCTTCCACTTGGCTTTTCATACCATAATAGCCCTTACTCCATTTGTTAGGGGTCCAGTGTGGAGGTTCTGCCAGTTGCTAAGTATATTTATTCCAATTATGCATTCCTGAACTGGGGCAATCACTACAGAATGGGTTTGGGGACCCACTGGACCTACTATGAGACAGACATGAGCTAAAACTCCATTAATAACCTGACCTCCATATGCCCCCACTCTGACTGGTGGGCCACAGTGACGTTTTGGGTCTCCTGGAATTAGTGTCAGTTCAGAGCCAGTATCCAGTAATCCCTGAAGTCTCTGATTATTTCCTTTTCCCCAATGAACAGTCACTCTCTAAAAGGCTGTAGGTCCCTTTGGAGAAGGCTGAAAGATTAACAGTATAAGTTTTTGATAGTGTATTGGAGTCCTTCCTCAAGGGCATGTGGCCTCCCCTTCATTCAAGGGGCGGTGAGTCTTTAAACTTGCTCGAGTCTGGGTGAGTTTGAGGGGCCATGACTCTCTATTCTGGCAATTCGAGTTGGACTGCTGTTCACTTGACCTAGAATTCATTCGCTTGTATAGATCAAGTACATATTTAGTAGATTTCCTATCTATTTCACTCCTAGAGACACCATGACTAAGTACTCAATCCCATAAGTCCATACAAGTCACACTATTCTGATTACTGCTTTGACTTCACTGTACGTTAAGGCAACCACACCCACCTTGTCTTTGTTGATCGAGTGCTGCCATTTGGCCCCTACTACTATGGGGTCCAATCAGCCCCATTGTAGTTAGGTGTCTTAATCCAGTTGGGGCAGTTCCAACTGTCAAATTTTACATAAAACAGCAATCACAGCAGTCTTCAAGGATGCTGGAGTTCCTTTCACAAATTTGTTTCTCACAGTTGTGGTAAAACGTGTGTCCTCTGGGCACTCCATGTAGAGGTCTGTGGGTCTAACCTGAAAAATCCACTCTAGCATGCCTATTTCCCTAGGCCTTTGGGTATCTTCTACAGTATACCAAAGCAGGTCTGGTACTTCAACTTGATTTAGTGTAGGCCACCGCATAATCCATGCTTCAGCAACCCAACCAAATAAACTATTAGATCCTTTCCTAACTTCTCAAGCAGAAACACTGAATGAAGAAGCTGTGCTTAGTGCACCCATATCAATAAACTCAGACTGATCCATCTTTGTTCCTTGCACCATTATCCTACACCATTAATAGCCATTCCCACACATACTCCCCAGCTTTCTGTTTGTACATATTAGAAAAGTCAAGCGGTTCTTTTGGAGTGTAGCATACCTCCTCTTGGGGCACACTTTGTACTTCACCTTTTCAGGCTGGATGGGACTTAAGTCTAGTGATAGGTCTAGAAGCCAAAATGGGGGTGGGGGGAAGTGGTTTGAGAACATTCAGCATTGTCTTGTAAATCATCTGCCTCAGGCAATGCCCCAGGCAATGACTCAAAGGCTCTCTAGACACAGCTGGGTTAATCTCATTAGATGGGGGTGGAAGGGCTAATGGTTTTACTGGGGAGGGTTTCTTTTTTTTTTTTTAATATTTTATTGTACTTCAGGTGAAGGCTTACAGAACAAATAGTTTCTCATGTAACAGTAGCACACATGCTGTTTTATGACATTGGTTAACAACCTCACAACATTTTAACCCTCTAAATTCTCAACTTTTTTTTTGGTGAAAATACACATAGCCAAAGATACACCATTTCAAAAATTTTTACATACACATTTAAGTGACATTGACTACGCTCTTCTAATTGTGCTGTTATTCTCACTTAAGATGAAGGCTTACAGGACAAAACAGCCTCCCATTTAACAGTTACTACAAATGTTGCCCTATGACAATGGTTAACAATCTCACAACACATCAACAATATCCTTACTCAACCTTGTGTTCCCTATCATCAGCTTCCTACTCCCCTTCTGCCTTCTGGCCCTTGTCACTGGACTCCTGTACCTCGTTAGTCTCATTTGGTTTTATGGTGCTGTCCACTCCCAGGCTGAACAGTGAACCTTGAAGGTAACTTCACCACTGAGCTAAAAGGGTGTCTGGGGGCCATACTTTTGAGGTTTCTCCAGTCTCCTTTAGGCCAGTAAATATTGTCTTTTTTTTTTTTTTTTTTGTGAGTTAGAATTATGCTGTACATCCTTCTCCAGCTCTGTCCAGAACCCTCTGTTGTGATCCTGGTCAGAGCAGTCAGCAGTGGTAGCCAGGCACCATCTAGCTGTACTGGACTCAGTCCAGTAGAGGTCTTGGTAGCTGTGGACAATTAGTCCTTTGGACTAATTTTTCTGTTGTATCCTGTTTTCTTCATTCTCCCTTGCTCCCGAAGGGATGAGACCAGTGGAGTATCTTAGATGGCCGCTCACAGGCTTTTAAGACCCCAGACACTACTCACCAAGGTAGAATGTAGAGCATTATCTTTATAAGTAGTGTCATGCCAATTGAGCTAGATGTTCCCCGAGACCATGGTCTCCAGAGCTGGGGAGGGTTTCTTAACAGACAAACTTGGAATAATCTCTTCAGATGGGACTAAGAGGGGTGGTTCTCTTGGCAGAAAAGATACAACAGAATTTAGGGGCTCAGTGTCTCCAGCTTCCTGATTATCTGCCCATATGTCCCCATCCCAAGTTTCAGGATCCCATTTCTTCCCAATCAATGCCCACAGTTTAATTTCAGACACCTCTCAAGGCTGGCAATTGAGTTGGTGTTGTAATTCAGCCACTCTTACAATAAGACTCTGGGTTTGGTTTTCGGCAATATCAGCTCTATTACTCCAAGAAAAAAGGCTTTCTTTAAAGGCACAAGTGGAAAATTTGAGGTCATTTATGCAGCACTTAAGCTTTGATTCTGAAGCCCTGAGCTCATCTCTTTTACCAATTTGTCTAGCGAAAGTAGGACCGACCAACCAGCTTCCTTATACTTCTCATTATGACAAAACTGTGGAAAGATATCACATACATGTTCACCTAGAGCATCACCTTTCACCAATACCTGATCTATTGGTGGTGATATTTTGTGTATTTGTTATTGCCACCTCACACCGTGGATTAGCAGTGCCCTCTTTACTACTGGAAGCAGAGTCAGCAACATCTTTAAGACTAACCAGACTTGAGAACCAATTTAGAAAACTCATTCTTACAATTTTGTTTCTGTAGAACCACTCTCGGTATCAAACCTCTTAGGCTGGGTTGTCTAGAGAAGCAAAACCAACTAAGCATATAAATATATAAAGAGATTTATATCAACGAAATGGCTCATGTGGTTGTAGAGGCTGGAATGTCCCAAATTTGTGGGTCAGGCTAGAGGCTTCTCCTGATTCACATAGCCACAGGGGCTGGCAAACCCAAGATTGGCAGGTCAGACAGCAGGGCTCTTGCTCACAAGGTATGAAGACCAACAAGTCTCAAGATCAGCGGGCAATACCGCAGGTAAGCTGCTAGCTCAAGTCCCAAGAACTGGAGGTCAGATGAACAGGAGCCAGCTACAGGATCCAGAGTGAGGAAAAGCCTGGGAGCCTTGCCAGAGAGTACACTTATATTTGACGCAGGCTACATACCCAAGGAAACTCCTTTTCAACTAACTGGCTACCCACAGCAGATCCCATTATGGTGGGTGACCCATTATATCAAATCTCATTATGGAAGTGATCACATCATCATAAGGCTGCCAAAATACATCATAAGAGCCAAACTACTGAGAATCATGGCCTAGCCAAGCTGACACACAACCTTAACGATCACACCTATTTTTCCACACTCAGTTTTTTTATATCCCTCCTTGTCACAAATCTACAGCTGTTAACTTTGTTTGGATCACAAGTACAGCCCAAACATGAAAATTTACTACTGCTCATCTGTTTATTCGTACCATTTCTTCACATAGGTGCTTTATTTTTAGAAAATATTTTGATTATTTTTCACCATGGTGGTTAAAGAAGAGATCAAAAGATAGTTGCTATGACTGTGACATTCCTACAGAGCTGCTATGAGGTGTAAGTGTAGAGCTTTGCTCACCAGCTACTTCCAAAATCTATCACTGTCAGCCCGGACAACCTTTTCTGTCCTTTGGGGATGGAAGTCTATGAATGACACATTTTATTTGAAAATACTGGATTTAATAGAAAATATCACATTGTAAACAACTCCATTAATCCATTAGATTGAAAACAGAATGACAAAACAATCACATAAAAAACCTGAAGATGAAATCCTGATACTAAACACAGCACTTAAAAGAGGTCTGAGCCAGGCTCTGGAAGGTCTTTCTAGAAATTGAGGGAGCAGAAGCTTCAAACAGGCACAAAAACAGGGAGAAGAAGGCAGCATCCATTCCTCAAAGGCTTAAAAGAGTAAAAGGAAGACAGAGCAATAGACTCATCTTTTGAATAAGGGCTGAAGATAGATGGACAAAAGGGCTGTGTTTATTTCCTGATGTTCTGAGAACATCAGCCCACACTACACGAGCCTGAGAGCTAGAAGGGCAGAGTATTCTGAATGGAGGAAAAGATATTAGGCAGCTTTAGAAGCACTTATTGTGCTGTCTTGGCACTCACCTCTCATGGAAACAGGAGAGCATGGCACTCATGTTTTCTGACTAAACTCCTAACAGCTGCTTGCCTTGGCCCCCATCACGTTGGCTGAACACTAACACACTGAAATTGAGGCAGTGTGTGTTGCCCTAGGGACCTCCTACCTTTTACTGAGCATAAAGTAAAAGAGAGGAGCCACAGTGAGACCTTTTAACAAAAACACATGGCTCTGGTGGGAAAAGGGTTTTCACCTTCTTCCTCCTGGTGGCATAGGGGCCCTGAGGGACAGGAGTGTCTGGCCCCACTGGGGACCTGGGTTCATCTGCAAAGGACTTCTCTAACCAATCCTCCCACAAAGGAGTCCTCCGAGTTCACAGAAAGGTCAGCTGTGAGACCAGAAAAAACAACTTGGGTTGGAGGAGGAAGTAAGAGACTTTTCGTTCCAGGACACTTGTCGCTGACCAGGGACCACTTCCTTACACTAACTTTAGACAATGAGAGAGTTTGTGTATTAATCTAGGACAGCGATTCTCAAATAAGGGGGCAGACCTGCTCAAGAGAGGCTCTCAAGACTCTCCAAAGAGGTTCTGTCCAATACACACAAGTGCTAATTCCCTCCCAAGGGAGAGTCAGTACATGTAATGACAGAGGTTCCTGATGGGAGTGTGCTGTACACGTAAACAGTGTCAGAGGCAGAACAGAAAGTTAAAAATCCCTAATCTAGATGTTGTGGATATCAAGATGGTGGAATACGTTTTCCAAAGATTTTTTTTTCTGATTAACAGTAAGTTTTAATCAAGTCATTCTCCTGGTAGCTGAACTCCATGATGAGGATCCCAGCCTCACAGCCAAAAACAGTATGTTCACTCACTTATCTGGAGTAACTGTACTAGATAAAAGAAATACAATTTTGTTCTCCTAAAGACAATTTCCAAAAACACCCGCCCAGCCTGATGAGATACTTGACACTAGGTTCCAGCACAGGCTAATCACTGTACGGTTTCTTGGAAGACTGGCTTTTCTCTGCTTCTTTCTCTTTTATACTGTACAAGGGGTCCACCAACTTGTTATGAACAAGCATTAAACCTACAAAAAATTAAAAACAGAAACTGGTTAGCACAGGCAGAGTTCCATGACTATCAACAATAATATCCAGGAGGCTCTAAAATTGTTCTAACAACTGATACTCATCATGTTTTCTCTGTGACCCCCACATGACAAAGCCCTGAGAAAAGGAAAAGAATCTATTAATCCCAGTGAGTGCTACAGTTCACAGAAACTTTGTAAATTCAATCACTAGGGGAGATGGCTATTTAAAGATCAATCTTTTTCAGCAAAGAACTAATTCTTACTTTCCCTGTGTAGTAAATGAGAATTTTCAAATAAGTTTGCTTTAAAGTAAGAGGAAAAAAGATCTTCATGATCTCTAGTCCAGAGCCTTGTCTAGAAGGGAAAGGCGTTACGAGGTCTGGAAAAATAAAACCCTGTGGCTCATTGTCTTACAGTTCCTCTGACTAGGACCACTGATGTAATTTTCTGCAATAAACTTTGGGGGCTGAGGGGGAGGCTCTAGGGTGTGGACGAGGTTTAAATGAAATTATGTACATTTCAAAATAATAAAAGAGATCAAATTTTCAGCAGATGTGTTTTAAATAAATGTTCTGGAGAAAAAGAAAATCCTGAGGCTCCTGCAAGGAGATCACCACATAGCCCTTGGATCACAGCTTTCATTTTCTACCCCTTCTTCTCAGAGAAAATAGATCTCCAGAAATGGATTCTTGCAGCCATGGAAGAGGGAGAACGACTGCGTACTGTGAGAGAGTAGAGTTTGATTTTTATTAAAATCAATTGCTTATTAAAATGTCCACAGCATGAAAGCCAGGTCCACCCTTCATCCTAGCACACTGAACCTGGCCTCCCTCCCTCACCTTTGAAATACTTGACAGTCTTCACTTTCAGCTCCAGGGTGGCGTCCTCATCGCACACAAACACTGCGCAGGGATGCTGCTGGAAGGCAGACACGGTCCACATATGGTTCACACCCTCCTCGATGGCCTTGTACAACGCAAACGCCTTGTGAGCACCCGTGATGAGGATCATCACCTGGGGATCAGAAACAAGGCACCGATGGAGGAGACCGAGCACACTAGACCTGGGAGTCCAGACCCCCGGATTCTAGCTGAGTCACCCTAAATGTGTGTAACGGCTATTATTTTTAACATATGTAACAAGTAGCTGCATAACACTCTGAGCAGTGCTCCAGGAACTTTATCACACAAATGAGGTAGCATCATTATCCTCACATTATATGATAAGGAAACAGACCCCTGGGAGGTTAAGTGACCTACCCAAGGACTCAAAGCTAAGAAACAGGAGACCTGGGATTAGACCAGGTGCTTCTGACCCCAAAGTCTGTGCTCTTGACTACCATATGATAGTGCTCCCTGGCATCTTTGATGATCGGTGTGAAGGTACCCTATGAAGGGACCTGCCACACAAAGGCCCACATCTCTCATCCCAACAGTCTGACGTTGGGATCCCAGGAGTGCTAGGTTGGGTGAGTTTTCAAAATCACAGTCTAAAAGAGGTCCTGGAAGCACTGGTGAGTTATCTGTGGAGCCCCGAAGGCTGAAACCCAAAAAGGCCACCTCTTAAACTGGTCACCTTCAGTTCAGTGCATTTGACCTGCTCGTGTGATGTGGGGTAATGCTCTGGGCTACACTGCTTTTTGTGTAAGTAAAAACAAAGGCCCAGACACCTCTGAAGAATGTGAGTGCAAGGAAGTGATCCTAAAGAACTCAACTCTAAGATTTCCTCTCACTGTAATTCACTTGTACAATGGAATGGTTAGGAGGATCTACTGTTCCTTTCTTAAAAGATGAGTGTCTTAGTTATCTAGTGCTGCTAAAACAGAAATACTACACATAGGAGGCTTTAACAAACAGAAACTTATTCTCTTACAGTCTAGGAGGCTAGAAGTCCAAATTCAGGGCACCAGCTCCAGGACAAGGCTTTCTCTGTCAGCTCTGGGGGAAGGTCCCTGTCATCAATCTTCCCCTGGTCTAGGAGTTTCTCAGCACAGAGACCCCAGGTCCAAAGGACATGCTCTGGTCCCAGCTCTTCATGCTTGCTGGTAATGAGGTCCCTCTCCTCTCTGCTCAAGTCTCTCTTTTATATCACAAGAGACTGACTTAAGATACATCCTAATTCTGTAGATTGAGTCCTGTCTGATTAACATAACTGCCTCTAATCCTGCCTTATTAACATCATAGAGGTTCAGATTTACAACACATAGGATAATCACATCAGATGACAAAACAGTGGACAATCACAAAATACAGGGAATCGTGGCCTTGACAAGTTAATACACATTTTTGAAGGACACAATTCAATCCATAACATTCTACCCTTTGGCCCCCCAAAATTCATGTCCTTGCCACAAGTAAAACACATTCACTTCATAATGTTGTTGTTGTTGTTAGGTGCCATCGAGTCCTTTTCCACTCATAGTGACCCTATGTGCAACAGAACGAAACACTTCCCACTCCTGCACGATCCTCACAGCCGTTGTTATGCTTGAACCCAATGTTGCAGCCACTGTGTCAATCCATCTCCTTGAAGGTCTTCCTCTTTTTCACTGACCCTCTACTTTACCAAGCATGATGTCCTTCTCCAGGGACTAGTCCCTCCTGATAATATGTCCAAAGTACATGAGACAAAGTATCACCATCCTTGCTTCTAAGGAGCATTCTGGCTATACTTCTTTCAAGACAGATTTGTTTGTTCTTCTGGCAGTCCATGGTATATTCAATATTGTTTGCCAACACCATAATTCAAATGCATCAATTCTTCTTCAGTCTTCCGTATTCACTGCCCAGCTTTCACACGCATATGAGGCGACTGAAAATATCATGGCTTGGATCAGGTGCATCTCAGTCCTTAAAGTGACATCTTCACTTTTTAATACTTTAAAGAGCTCTTTTGCAGCAGATTTGCCCAATACAATGCATCGTTTGATTTCCTGACTGTGGATCCAAGTAAAATGAAATCCTTGACAACTTCAGTCTTTTCTCCGTTTATCATGATGTTGCTTACTGGTCCAGTTGTGAGGATTTTTGTTTTATTGTTGAGGTGTAATCCATACTGAAGGTTGTGGTCTTTGATCTTCATCAGTAAGTGCTTCAAGTCCTCTTCATTTTCAGCAAGCAAGGCTGTGTCATCTGCACAATGCAGGTTGTTAATGAGTCTTCCTCCAATGCTGATGCCCTGTTCTTCTTCATATAGTCCAGCTTCTGGGATTATTTGCTCAGCATACAGATTGAATAGGTACAGTGAAAGGATACAACCCTGACACACACCTTTCCTGACTTTAAATCATGCAGTATCCCCTTGTTCTGTTCAGACAATTTCTTGGTCTATGTACAGGTTCCTCATTAGCACAATTAAGTGTTCTGGAATTCCCATTCTTTGCAATGTTATCCAATGTTATCAGTAAAACACAGGTAAACATATTTCTGGTATTCTCTGCTTTCAGCCAAGATCCATCTGACATCAACAATGATATCCCTTATTCCACATTTCTCTTCTGAATCTGGCTTGAATTTCTGGAAGTTTCCTGTCGATGTACTGCTGCAAATGCTTTTGAATTATCTTCAGCAAAACTGTACTTGTGTGTGATATTAATGACATTGTTCGATAATTCCCACATTCCGTTGGAGCACCTTTCTTTGCAATGGGCACAAACATGGATCTCTTCCAGTCAGCTGACCAGCTGTCTTCCAAATTTCTTGGCATAGATGAGTGAACACCTCCAGCGTGGCATTGGTTTGTTGAAATATCTCATTTGGTATTCCATCAATTCCTGGAGCCTTGTTTCTCACTAATGCCTTCAGTGCAGCCTGGGCTTCTTCCTTCCATAGCAACGGTTCTTGATCATATGCTACGTCCTGAAATGGCTGAACGTCGACCAATTCTTTTTAGTACAGTGACTCTGTATATTCCTTCCATCTTCTTTTGAGGCTTCCTGCGTCATTTAATATTTTCCCCGTAGAATCCTTCAACATTGCAACTTGAGGCTTGACTTTTCTCTTTAGTTCTTTCAGGTTGAGGAACGCCAAGCACGTTAACCTTCTCGTTTGGTTTTCTAACTCCAGGTTTTTGCACATTTCATTACTTTACTTTGTCTTCACGAGTCGCCCTTTGAAATCTTCTGTTCAGCTATTTTACTGCATCATTTCTTCCTTTCGCTTTAGCTATTCTCCTTCAAGGGCAAGTTTCAGGGTCTCTTATGACATTCATTTTGGTCTTTTCTTTCTTTCCTGTCTTTTTAATGACCTCTTGCTTTCTTCATGTATGATGTCCTTCCACAACTCGTCTGGTCTTCAGCCATTAGTGTTCAAAGCATCGAATCTATTCTTGAGATAGTCTCTAAATTCAGGTCGGATATACTCAAGGTCGTACTTTGGCTCTTGTGGACTTGTTCTATGTTCTTCAGCTTCAACTTGAATTTGCATATGTGCAGTTGATGGTCTGTTCCACAATCGGCCCCTGACCTTGCCCTGACTGATATCGAGCTTTTCCACCATCTCTTTCCACAGATGTAGTCAATTTGATTTCTGTGTATGCCATCTGGCAAGGTCCATGTGTATGGTCGCCGTTTATATTGATGAAAAAATATTTGCAATGAAGGAGTCGTTGGTCTTGCAAAATTCTATAATGCAATCTCCGGCATCATTTTGTCACCAAGGCCATATTTTCCAATTACCAATCCTTCTTCATTTCCAACTTGCGCATTCCAGGCACAAGGCAGACATTTTCATTACAAATGGGAGAAACTGGAGGGCAAGAAGGGATAGCAGGCACCAAGCAAGCCAGCAGAACACATTACATTAGCTCTCAAGGATTGAAAATAATCCTCTGTTCTCTGAGACCATTTAGGCAATGGCCCTGCCCTCCATATCTGGGTGTTGGCCACATCCTCCAGATTCTGGGTAGAGGCCCCTCGGCCCTGGGCTTCAGGTCTGCTTTCCAGGCCCACTGGGACAGCAGTTCTGCTCCCTTGGATTTAGGCAGCCCCATTCTCCTAGCCTGTCTGAGTGGCGACCCTACCCCCTCGGCCCAGCAGGCCCTGTTCTTCTGCCCCTTGGACACAGCAGCCCCACCCCCTCAGCTTTGGGCAGCAGATCTGGCCCCACCCTCCGGCAGTGGTGAAGGACAGTCCCAAACTTTGAAACCAAGCTGGTGAATATCTGACTCTTTGAAACCCAGGAGGCTGTGTCCCCACTCTTTGAGACCCAGCAGGCTGTGGTTCCAACCTTTCAGACTCCAGAGGTTGTGACCCTACTCTTTGAAACTGAGGAGGCTCTGCTTCCTGTGCTCCTTGACTCTTCAGCGTCTCCTTCCTGGTTCCTTGGCCTCTCGGCCCCTCTTGCCTCTTGGGCCGGAAAAGTGTCTGCCCTGCCGAGGTAAAGTGTTCCAAAGCTCTTTAGCTCTACTGACAAGTGCCTGGAGACAACCTACTCTGCCAGTAAACTTCAGCCAGAAGGGACTCAGCTCTCTTGCTCCACGGGTCTGCAAGCCTAGCTCCATAGATAAGTGCCCAGAGACACCCTACTCTGCCAGGAAGCCTCCTGCCCGAAGGTACTCGGCTCTCTTGCTCTGTTGATCAGCTCCTGTACTGTCTCACGCCGTTCTCCTGCTGCCATTTCTCTGCTGCTGCTTCTTGCCGTCTGTGCCATCTCCACTGTTAGAAGCTCTCCTCGCTTCCTTCTGGGTCCTTACCAGAACTGCCTTTGACGTCCATAATTCCAACAACAATCTCTTCAAGGAATTCTAGGCTTTTACTATTAGGCACCTTAATATTCTTCCAGCCTCTACCCATCCACAGTTTCAAAACTTCTTCCACATTTTAGCTATCTCTTAGAGCAGTACCCAACTCTTGATACCAAATTCTATCTTAGTTATCTAATGCTGCTGTAACAGAAATATCACAAGCGGATGGCTTTAACAAAGAGAAATTTATTCTCTCACAGTCTAGGAAGCTAGAAGTTGGAATTCAGGGTGCCAGCTCCAGAGGAAGGCTTTCTCTCTCTGTCAGCTCTGGGGGAAGGTCCTCCGCTGGTCTAGGAGCTTCTCAGCACAGAGATCCCAGGTCCAAAGGACACATTCTGCTCCCAGCTTTTCCTGCTTGGTGGTAATAAGGTACCTCTCCTCTCTGCTCAATTCTCTTATATCTCAAAAGAGATTGACTCAAGATAGAACCTAATCCTGTAGATTGAGTCCTGTCTCATTAACATAACTGCCTCTAATCCTGCCTCATGAACGTCACTGAGGTTAGGATTTATAACACATAGGACAATTACATCAGATCACAAAATGGTGGACACCACACAATACAGAGAATCATGGCCTAGCCAAGCTGACACACTTTTTGGGGGGACACAATTCAATATCTAACAACAAGAAAACAGGCACACAAAGAATCTAACTATTTACGCAGGACCCCTCAGCAACCCAGAAGTCATTTCAGAAAAAAGAATTTTCCCATTTTCCAGCCCCAGGTCCTTTTCCAGATCAAAATACTCTCTCACATGGTAAGGATGGCCCTCAAGTCCTTTTTGTAAGCTGCAGGGCCAGAACCAGCAGAGTGGCCTATCTAGGTACTGATTCAAGGTTACCCAAAAGAAATCTGGAGGCCATCATTCATCTCACAGAAGTTCACTTTAAACAGGAAACTTTTTCTCTGATTTAGATGCTTGTTCACAGACCTGGGCAAAGAAACTGAAAGCTAAACTTGTAGCTGCTTCCCACTGAATATACCTCAGAAAGGAAGATAAAATACTTCTAAAATTCTAATGAAAGATAGTAAGTAAACTGGAACCACAAAAAATTCAAATGATATCCAGCTTTCTAGGGGAAAAACCTCACTTACTTCAGTTCAAGACACAATTACATTTCCATCACTCTATGCCATGTTTACTAATCCCTGAGCACTGCAGTACAACCATAAGCGTCCCTGGGTGGGAGGGGGAAGCTTCCCTTCAAACAGTGACCACCACCAACTACAGGGCACAAGACAGTCCCTCTTAGGACCTGGGCAGGTACAAACTCATATTCCAATGTTAATGGCGCTGGACTCCTGTTGGCCCGTGAGAAGCATGAAAGGGGTAGGGAAGCCGAAGCCAGGGTGTCTGCGGCCTCCCGGGCAGTCGAAGGCATAAAAAAACATACAGAAAGCATTCGCCTCACACTGGGAACAATGGTTACCTCTGAAGAGGAAGAAAATCAGTGAACAGGAGTCAGCTGGAATTACAACCTTATATATGTCTTCATTTTTAATGAGAATATATTAAGGTAGTACCTGTATAATTAAAAGTTAAAAAAACCAGAACAAAACCCTTAACTCCAGCCCCTGTGAAGGCCCCTGGGCCCCGTGCCCTTACCTCTCTAGCATCCATGACAGTGCCCACACCCACTGTCAGGGCCATGGTGGGCACCTTGGAGAGATCTCCATGGAAGAACCTAGCGTTGGCCAGGATGGTGTCCATGGCCAGCGTCTTCACACGGGTTCTGGACACCAGACTGGAGCCTGGCTCGTTGAAGGCAATGTGTCCATCGGGGCCGATGCCTGCCCGGGAGAGAGAGCCAGGGCAGCCCTGTGAGTCCCAGGGTCCAGGATTTCAAGAATAGACAATCTCTCCTCCCCAAATGGGGTCTGAAAAAAATCCTTGAACACCGTGTCTCTTTTCCCATTTTTACCCCTAGGCACATATACCTTCAGCATATGACCTCTGCCCCACCTCTCTGTGTTAGGCACACAAAGACATCATTAACTTGCTACCACCCTGAAAAAGCTAAGTGAAGAACTACTGCAAATAGCTTCTGCCACCCTAAATGATCAGAGAAGTGTAGTTTCTCTGCCCCTCCTGCCTGTGGTTAGGGAGCCTTGTTTCTGGGCAGAGTTGCAGTGAATACAACTCACCTAGGGATTGGACAGGGGCTGCCAAGTTTATAAAATCTCAGAAGAACTTCTGCCCCCCTCCCCTCGACCTTGAAGTATAGAAGAGTCAAAAGCAGTAAAAGGAAGTCCAGTTCCACGGGTGACTCTGGAGGTGACAACGGATGGAGATGTAAAAGGGCAGCCCAGGGTAGAGAAAAGAGCACACATGTGAGAGGCAGACGCCTCAGGTTCCTGCCCTTGAGCTGCTGCTCACTGGCTGGCTGACATGGACAAGTCATAACTTTCTCTGGGTTCAACTGGCCATTGATAGCACACAGGGGCTGAGTGCAGAACCTTCTGGAGTCTGTGATTTTAAATGTTTGGTTAAGTTTCATGACTGATTCACAAAACCCTAAGACTGGGGAGTAGACAGAATCTCAGAGTCCAAATCCAAACCTCTCAAAATCACAGACAAGGCATCAAAGTGCATGGGAGGGAGATGCTCAAGATCACGCAGTACTGAGTAGCAGCGTGGGGGCAGGGATCCAGGGCTCCCACTCTCTCAGCACGTTCCCTGCCTCCAAAGGGTTAAGGGTCCCCCACTGTCACGAGCACAAACAGAGGAAGCTGTGTGGAGACAGACATGGTGTCTTGTCCTTATCCTTCCCGTGTGTTCCAACCACCCAGGGCCTGGTCCAGCACATGTGCTGCGGACTGCCAAGCTCACCTCCAACAAACAGCTCGATCCCACCTGCAGCCTTGATCTTCTCTTCAAAAGCATCACACTCGGCCTGCAGGTCGGTTGCATTCCCATCCAGAATGTGAGTGTTTTCTGGGTCGATGTCAATGTGCTTGAAGAAGTTGTTCCACATGAATGAGTGATAACTCTCGGGGTGCTCTCGAGGAAGGGCTGCAGAGCCAGGGCCACACTTGGTCATGCCCAGGCTGAGCCAGAGCCCTGCTACCAACGGGATGCCAGGATGCCCTCAGACCCACAGAGGCTCTCAAGGGACTGCCTGTCAGGTGGCCTTGGGCGCCAGGCCCCTATAGTCCCCACCACTTAGAACAGGTTAAACTGGTGTCCAAAAGTGGTGTCCCATTGCTACCACCTGTGACCAAGGAACTGGGGTCAGAGTAGCTACACATCAGGGGCTTTGTGAATCCCCTCATCATGAGCTCCTTTTCATGTAGGCTGGAGGCAGGGGTCACTCTGGGCTTCGGGAGATAGCCTAGACAAACCAACTGGGTAGGGAAGCAGGCACACCCTTTACTCTGTGCCTCTCAACCCACCCTATTATGTCCTTGTGACCAGCACAGCCTGAGTCCCAACCTGAACAGCATGTGATTGGAGAGAATTATCTCAGGGCTTCCGAAAAAGATCTCTTCAGCCAGGAAGAAAACCAAAAGAATGTTTAAAGTGAAGCCATTATAAAATGATGGAAGACCAAGATGCAGCTTTTTAGCAGCAAAGAGAAGGACATTAGTCTCAGCTCCCTTCCCAGTGTACCAGACAGAAAGGGCAGCTGGAGGGTTCTGCTCGAGAGAAAGTCCAGACCCAGACCCTGCGGGACATGCCTGAGCCATGATCCTAATCACAATCACTTGTTCCAGGAAGAAACAGCATGGAGTTAAGAGGAGGTAGAGGAGGAGGAGATACTGTGATAGTTATTAAGTGCTTACTATGCACAAGGGACTTCCGCAACTATTATGATGGCATTTAATGCTTACAACCTGTGACGTCAGCTTTATTAACCCCATTTTTTTTTTTTTTTTTAAAAGCCAAGTAAACCAAAGCCCGGTAGAGACAGATATTGATAATTGAGCCTATCACCAGACATCAGTGCCTCTGAGACGTGCCTCTTCCTCTCTAGGGCAGAGCCTGTGAACAGGAGGAGCACGATTCTCCTGGAATCAGGTAAGGACTTGAAAGACTCACCCACATACTCGTCCATGTTGAAAGTCTTCACGTATTTGAAGGAGAGGTCCCCGTTCTTGTAGTATTCAATAAGCTTTTTGTAGCAGCTAAGCGGGGTGCTCCCTGCAAGAGAGGTCACAGACATGAATGTCCCTTTAGCCCCCAGCTCCTGGGTGCCTTCTGGGCACCCAAGAATAAGTCAGGACAGCTCCACAAGGAGAACCTGCCAGATGTGACAAAACAAGCCAGAGCTGAAGGGCTGCCCCAGTGCTGCAATACCAACTGTCATTCACTAACTGCTTGGTTAATGCCTGTTTCCTGACTAGACTGTAAGCTCCAGGAAGGCAGGACTGTGTCTCTCACTGCTGAATCCCCAGTGCCCAGCACACTGATGACTGAAATGACTGTGATTAGTACCTGAGTGAACGTCAGGCTTAATTATTGACCACTGTCCGTGAAGCTGAAACCCTGGCAGTGTAGTGGTTAAGCGTTCGGCTGCTAACCAAAAGGTCTGCAGTTCAAATCCACCAGGCACTCCTTGGAAACCCTATAGGGCAGTTCTACTCTGTCCTATAGGGTCGCTATGAATCATAATAGACTTGATGGCAATGGGTTTGGTTTTTCTTTTTTGGTGCATAAAGCACAGGGACCTGTGACAGGGCATTAAAAACAAAAACAAAAACGAAACCCATTGCCGTTGAGCTGATTCCCACTCACAGCGACCCTATAGGACAGAGCAGAACTGCCCTATAGGGTTTCCAAGGAGCGGCTGGTGGATTTGAACTGCTGGCCTTCTGGTAAGCAGCCAAGCTCTTAACCACTGCACCACCAGGGCTCCGTGACGGGGACATAGAGGAGCAAAAAGCATAGTACCTGTCCCGGAAGAGCTCCCTGTCTAAGAGGTGGGACACAAGCCATCATGTCAGCTGTGATAACAGCAAGCACAGGCTCACCTTGAGGGTCCAGGGAAGACTTCCCTGAGGAACAGCAAACTCTCAAGCTGAGTCTCATTAAAAAGTCAGTGTCATAAAACACACACGTTAAAAAAGGCAGGAAGGCCATTGTAGAGTAAAAGACTAAAAATACATGAACCCTGACTAGATAATGGATCACTTCAAAAAAAAGCTATAAAAAACTTATGTGGGACAATTAGGAAAATCTGAACACAGTCTGTAAATTAAATGATACTGTGGAATGGTTTTTAATTTCCTTAAGTGTGGTGATAATGGTAGTGTGGTTATACAAGAGAATGTCTTTATTCTTAGAGATATGTGCTGAAGGATTTAGAGGTAAAGTGTCAGGATGTCTGGAACTTACTCTCAAGTGGTTAAAAAAAAAAAAAACTGTGCGCGTATTATACATAGAAAGAACAGGAGCCACAGAAATTAAAGCAAATGTGGCAAAATGTTAACTGGTGAATGGTATCTGGGTGGCCACTGCATTCTTTCAACTTCTTTGAATATTTGAAATTTCTTGAAATAAAAAGACTGAAGGGATAAAACCCCATCCAAAACAGATCACACCATTCCTTTTCAAAACCCACCGATGGCTTCTCATTTCACTAAGTAGTAACAGGTGCCGTGGTTAAGAGCTGGGCTGCTAACCAAAAGGTTGGCACTTCAAATTCACCAGCTGCTCTTTGGAAATCCTGTGGGGCAGTTCTATTCTGTCCTATAAGGTGGCTATCAGTCAGAATTGACTCGATGACAATGGATTTGGTTTTTTTATGAAGGTCCTATATAACCTGGCTCCTGGCTATCTCTGTCCCCCTTACTCATCCTGCTTCAAGCACATTTCCACCCCAGGGCATTTGCACATGCTATTCCCTCTGCCAGCAATGCTCCTCCTTCAGGTATCTGCATGGCTAACTCTCTCAAAATTACTACAGTGTCACTTTCTCAGAGACCTGCCCTGCCACCATATCCAACACTGTAACCTTCCACCCCTGCCCAGACACTCCCTATCCTTCTTCTCTGCTTCATTTTCTCCTTACCTCTGTATCATCATCTAACAAACTCTGTATTTTGCTAATCAACTTGTTTATTGTCTGTCTCTCCCACTACAATTTAAGCTTGAGAAAAGCAGGAAACTGTGCCTTTTTGATTACTGCTGTATCCCCAGCACCTAGAAAAGCTTGGCATACAGTGGGCATTCAATAAACATCTGCTGAATGAATGATGGTGGCAGCTCTCCCCAACCCAGCCAAAACAATCAGCCTGTCCCTGTGACAAGGCCTTAGCTATGCCTAGACCACATAGCTTCCCGTTTTGCCATTTTCCAAACCTCTAGCCCTCCCATTAATTATGTGAGCTCCCCAATATTTAGCCAATAAATTCCTTGTCTGCTTAAGTTAGCTGGAGTTGGTTTCTGTGGTTTCCACCCAGAACCCTGACTGGTGCTTCATATAGCAGAAGGAATGATCCAAGGAACCCGTGGAAATGCTGTGTTGGTTCAATTGTGACAGACAGGAAGGGGCCAGGTCTTACAGGGCCTCGAATGCCACTCAGAGGAGCCTGGTTCTGATTCTGCAAATGATGGGAAGCTAAGGAGAGATTCAAGCAGAATCCCAGACTCTGAACCAGGTGGAGGCTGGGTCACCCTACAGTTAGAAGACGGAGTGTTAATGTAGCTCCCACATGGCCTGACATGCTGGCAGTTTCACAGGTCTAAGCAGATACCACTCCCCTAAACTTCGACGTGCAGGGGTCAGCAAATGTTGACCCACAGGCCATATCTGCCTGTTTTTATACAGCCTACAAGTTAAGAATGATTTTTATATTTTTAAATAGTTGGGGAAAAAATTAAAAAATGACTATTCTGTGATGTGAAAATTATATAGCAAAGCCTAAAATTTTCACTATCTGGCCATTTACAGAAAAAGTTTGAAGACCCTTCCTCTAATGGATGGGTCAGGTAGGCCCATACGGAAGCCTTAGGGCAAATCCACCCTACCTCTGAAGAAATAGTCAGGACATTTGCCTTGAGAAGGTGGAGTTGAAAACTTCCTATAAAGCCAACATTCTGATTTTTTCCCCAAAGAAACTAGGACTGTTTACCGTTTAGGTCCTGTGCATAATTAAGCCTTACAGAAAATGATCTGAGTGACTATCTTCTCAATTCTCCCAAGGATGGTACTTAGCTAGGATCACTCTAGACTCATAGAAGATAAATTAATTCACTACACAAAATGCTACCTTAAGGCATTAGGACTTAATTACCCTGGTTAACAGCGACTGACTTAGGATGTAGCCTAAAAATCAAGTTCTTTCTGCTTAACCAAGATCTGTTCTGCTCCAGGACTCTTCAGGTCTGGGCAGCAACTGAACAGACCCATAAGGAAACTGGGTCCTCTGTTTTGCATGCCTGAGGGGAATGGGAGGTGCTCTCTCAAAGCACAAGTATCTCAGAGCCCTCCTTGAAGTTCCCTGGCTGAGTGAGCCCACCTATCTTGGCCCCTCAAAGGCCCCTGATGCCCACTTCCTTCTCCCCCATCCTTGGCATCCTCCCCATCCCACTACGCACCAGTGGGAAGCCCCAGGCTGAAGTACTTGTCTGGCCCTGGGTTAAACTGGATGATGCGGTTCCTGATATATTTGGCCGCCCACTCGCTAGCCTGAGAATAGTTCTCCAGGATGATGAGCTTCATCTTGTCCTGTAAGGGGTGACAAAAGCGAGTCAATAGTAAGGGACATGGGTGGAAAATGGGATGGGGGTAGTTGGGGTGGAGGAGGGAAGCCCCTCTCACCCAGCAACAACCCTTTCCTCAAGCTGTCAGGGCAGGAAGAGGAAGGCCCTGACTTTCAATTCACAGAGGAATTAACAGGCTGGGCGGGGTGCCTCCACTAGCCACCAGGAGGTGCCACTATGAGACAGACCTGGGTTCTAATCTCAGTTCCCCCATTTATCAACAGCAAGACCTTGGTCAAATGACCCAAGTTCTCAGAGCCTCTTTACTCATATGTAAAATGGAGAGATAACACCTACCTCACAGATTTCATGATTGTGAATATTAAATGAGATAATGCATACAAAACACATAGTAAGCATTCAACATATTAACTATTATTATTATCTTGTAGCTACACCCAGTTCTACTGGCCTGTAGCCCCAGGCTTGATACTCTCTACCCCAGGGACTCTTCCTCAAGAAGTAGAGGGGTCATGGGATCACCTTGGGCCACTAGAACAGGAGAGGAGAAGGCTTTTGTCTGGGGAGGTGTGTCTCTTTCAGTTATTGGGGAAGGGGTGCTCCTACTGGCCCTCCTAGCTTTGTGAAGCCTTCTGTCCTCAGTGTCCTCAAAGCACAATGGAGAAATGGTTATCGCTCAAGGAGGAGGGAATTTAACTCCTCCATGCACTGACGTCAGTTTGAGTGAGACGACTCGTCGCGGAGGTCGCCCCTACAGCCTTGCGTGGGGAACCGGCCAGAGCAGCTCGCAGGGGTCCTGGCACCCAGGGTGCCAGAGGACTGGGGCAGCGCCCCGAGATGCCGGCTCCGCCCGCAAGGAGGGTCCCCAAGGAGGATCCCCACTAGTCCCTCTCCCTACTTACTAGGACGCCTTCCGCGGTGGCCTCAGCGACGGCGCTGGCTGTTCAACGCTCCTATCGGATCACGTGGCCGCAGGTCACGCGGCAAAGCTCGCGCCGCCCGCCGGGTTGACTCAGCAGGGCTGCCCGGCAGCTGCTTCCAGGGCTGGAAGCTGCCGCCGGCACTGGCTGGGCCCTGGGCCAGGGGGCTCCCACCTTCTCCTCTGGGCCCCCAGCGGCTTGCAGGCCCGGGACGAGATCGTGAAAAACACACTCACGGTCGGAGGCGGGGATTGGAGATGGGTTTTGTGGAGGAGGGAGACTTGGGTGCGCACGGTCGCTCCCAGGAATGCAGTCCCCATGCCTGGGGGGCTGGGGCCCGGCTGTTTTCAGTGCTGGGGGCGGGGGTGGAGGAAGAAAGTTCTGCATCGCTTCGTCGGAGACTCCTGGTAGTGGGCCTCGCTCTGCCTTCAGTTTCTTTGTTATTTAGATGTTATTTATTTACCTAGTTATTAATAACTTTTTGGTTTTAAATGTAATTGGTTTTCTTTTTTTTTTCAAAGATCAATCTTCACAGCAATCTATACCAGAGAAAAAGGTTTGCCCAGCCCGCCCCCAAAACAAAAGATAACCCCTGTTTACAGTTTGGAGTACATTCTAAACTATTTTTCTGTGAATATACTTACAATATTATTTTACAGAAATGGGAACACACTATACACACAGTTTACTAGGGGTCAGATACTTGATCACTGGAGCAGGTGTGTCAAAAACATAAATGCTCAGAGAAACACTGAAAATTAGTGTAACAATATATTTATTGTTGAGTAGATACACATCGAATAGGCATCAACCCAAATGTATTGGGAGGAGTGAGAAGAGGAGACAGTGAAAGCGGGTTGTGTAGGTCATCTGGTATGTTAATTTTTCAGTAGATAGTATCAGAGCACAGTGCAGGGTTTCAGGGTCAGTTACAGAGTCACCAAGGACATGCCGTACATCTTAAAAGACAGCCTCTAGTCAGACCCTGGAGTTCCTGCTTCTTGAAGCTGGCTGCACATAGATGATTTTCCTTAAGAATCCAATGCCTAAGGCAAACTAGGCTGTTGTTTGATCTGAAGGTGACTTCAGAGAATCCTTCCTGAAAAGCTCAAGGTTGGAAAAGGATGCCTAAGGACAAATGGCCTGGGTAGGTCACCCCAATTCCATTAACTGAGAAATCTGGATTCCAGGAGAATTAAAATGGTTTTGTCAGGTAAGAAGATGGGCTTATTATTTCACTTAATCTTTATTAACATCTCCATGAGGAAGGTCTGCTGTTACTCTTTCACAGACAGGGAAACAGAGGCTTAGAGAGAAGTTAATTTGGCCAGGGGCACAAATCGTTCCCATAAGACTTGCATTCAGGGAGATCTGTCCAAGTCCAAAGGCCATGAGCCTACATTGCCTTCCAACTTGTATGACAACAGATCTTGGATACCATCTTTAAACCCAAAACCAAACCCACTGCCATCTAGTCGATTCTGACGCATGTTGTTGTGCCATCAAGGGCTTCTGACTCCTAGCGGCCCTGTGTACAACAGAACAAAACACTGCCCAGTCCTGCGCCATCCTCACAATCGTTGCTATGCTTGAGCCCATTGTTGCAGCCACTGTGTCAATCTATCTGGTTGAGGATCTTCCTTTTTTTCGCTGAACTTCTACTTTACCAAGCATGTTGTCCTTCTCCAGGGACTGATCTCGCTTGATAGAAGAAATTCTAGAAGGATACTTTATTAGTTATCTCTTGCTGTATAACAGATTACCCCAAAACTTAGTGGCTTAAAACAACAATAACCATCTGTTATCTTTCACAATTTTGGTGGGCCAGAAATTTAGACAGCACAATGAAGATGTCTGGGGCCTCAAATGGAAGATTCCAAGGCTGAGGCTGGAATCATATGAAGGCTGAAGGCTCACTTACTCACATGTCTGGCAATTGATGCTGGCTGTCAGCCAGAACACCCATATGTGGCCTCTTCTTGTGGACTGGGCTTCCTGACAAGGTATCAGGGCAAACATATTGAGAGACAGAGCTGGGCTGAAGCTGTATCCTTTTATGACCTAGTCTCAAAAATCACATAGCATCACTTCTGCTGAACTCTCTGGGTCAGGGCAGTCACAAGCCTCCACCCAGATTCAAAAAGAGAGAACATAGACAGCATCTTTCTGTGGGAGGAGTGTCAGTAACTGTATAAGAAAAGCATGTAAGATGAGGCAAATATATCAGTGTGGCCATCTTTAGAAAACACAATCTGCTGCAGACACACACTAAACTATAATTAAGATTTGATCAACCTAATGGATTTCCACATCTGCCACTCCCCCCTCCTCCTGCCGCCATGTTTGGCCATCTCCTCTGAAGGCTTTCACTGAGTCTTTTTTCCTAGTACCTGCTGTTTTCTACCTTCTAATTATCTGAGGCCATGTCTTTCCTCCTTTAATGATAGCTGTGTCTCACTAATCTTTGTATTTCCCATACCTAGCTCAGAACCTGCACATAAAAGCCAGAGTCCCACGTGACTCAGAGCATTGGCTCCGGAGCCCAACCACCTGGGTTCAGATCCTGGATCAACCACTTCCTAGTTGGGACACTTAACTTTTCTGTGCCTCAGTTTCTTCAACTCTGAAATGGGAATGATAATAGCAGCTACTTCACAGAGTTGTTGTGAGGATTAAATGAGTTGACACATGTAAAGCATTTAGAACTGTGCCTGACACATGGCAAGTGCTCAATAAATATCAGTTATTAGATTGGACCATATAAAATCGTGGTTTTTTCAGGTCAAGAACTATCAAATATTGGCAATTTCATATGGTTCAATCTAATATTATCATCTTACCAGAGTTATATTTAAAGAGACAGTCCAGTAATCAAAAACAATTAAAATGTCTATTGATGTGTCTAGAAGAATGTCAAGGAGCCCTGGTGGTGCAATGGTTAAGTGCTCGGCTGCTAACTGAAAGGCTGGTGTTTGAACCCACCCAGTGGCACCATGAAAGAAAGGCCTAGCAATCTGCTCCCATAAAGATTACAGCCTAGGAAACGCTATATGGGACAGTTCTACTCTGTCATATAGGGACACTATGAGTCAGAACCGACTCAACTGCACACAAGAACAGAAAGATGTAAGAGGATTCAAATCAGAACTCATAACACATCTTACGATTCTTTCCTTCATTCCTTTTATTGTTACCAGGAAAACTTCCTCCATCGCTCATTCTCAATTCCCAACTAAAAAATCTCTTTTCCTCAGCACCTCACCCCCACATACCCAGTTAAAGCAAGTGCCTGCCTTCCTCTCCCTTTAATTCACCTCGATTTTCCTCTTTCTCACAGAAAATTTCTCTCAGTCCTTTTTGATGCAAATGCCTCAGGTTGGTTTCTCAGTTGTCTCTCTTTTTCTCCTTCTTTTGTCAAAAACCCAAACACTAAACTGCCAGAAAGGACTTCTTAGAGGGCAGAAGAGAAGGGAGAAGCTGAGAAGGCAAAGGCAGAATTCCTTTTAAAGGGGGAAAGTGAGCACAGATTTAGTAATTTTAGGCTCCATCGCAAGGGAAAGACAGTATAATAAATAAACTGCAGGACTGTGTGGTTCAAAACATTAAATGGGAAAGCAGACTGATGCTGCAGAGAGCCGAGTAGGGCAGAGCAGGACAGACACGAGAGGTAGCACACGTTGTTTGGAAGGGACTCCAGAGCCACACTTTGAATCCAGCTCCACCGCTTACCAATTGTGTGACTTCTGCTAAGTTACTTAATTTCTTTCTGCCTTAATTACTTCATCCATAAACTAGGAAAAATAATATCTACCTTATAGCATCTACTATTATTATCAAGAATAATGACCTCAGGGGGAGAAATACATGTAATACATGTAAGGCGGTTAGAACAGTTAATCCTCACTAAAACAAAAACAAACAAACAAAAAAAAAACAACAAAAAACCAGTTGCCATTGACTCTGATTTATGGCCCCTCCATGTGTGTCAGAGTAGAATTGTGCTCCGTGGGGTTTTCAGTGGCAATTTACTTCTCAAAAAATCAGCTATTGAAAACCTTAAAGAGCACAGTTCTACTCTGATACACATGTAGTCGCCATGAGTTAGGATCAACTCAGTGGTAACTGGTTTATTGCTGAAGAGATATTGAAAACAATGAAAAAGAAATAAGTAGACTTCATTCGATGGATTATTTAAAAGTCAACGATAACTTTGGGGGCCATTTTCTTTAGAATTAAAGTATGATTTCAGTGTCTCAAGTAAATGGAGGATTCTCTTAACTGCGTTTGTTAGAAAGAGCCAATGAGTTTTTGAATGAGAGAGAAATAAAGAATATGAATACCAACAAAAATCCTAAATCGCTCAGTTTGGAACAGAATAAATGCTGAAGTAGGAGAACAATTTCATGACAATTACTTCAAGGCCAATAGAAAGAACATAAAATGCTATCTGAACAGTGTTATGCAGAATGTGGGCGGGACAGCCAACACCTTCCATAAAATCATTCATGCTTTGCTTCAGCTTGAACAAACATCGTTTGTACCTTTATGCAAACGTCTATCAAAATTTGTATTTGTATTATCTCCAACAAAAGCACTAAAATTTTCTTATTAACTCTTAACTCAATAAGAGATTTATGCAAAAATTTCCTGTTGTTTTTCTGAAGTCTCATCTGGAAGGGATTTTACTAGCAATAGTTTTATAAGCAAGCCTTTTTCACGGGAGCAATATTGCACAAAGGAAAAATTGTTTCTGCATTGTGATTCCATCTATGCTATGCTGTAAAAAGGTGAGACAATGAGATCTTTGACAATCTCTGTAATAATGAATGGAGCTATTACTTATTATGGCAGTAGATTTCATTCTAGCATTTGAAATTTGCTGCAATTTTGGAACCAGAAAATACTTCTGGTAACAGTACATTCATTCATTTGAACTGAAAGACTGATGCTGATTATTCTTTTAATTAAAAAAATGGTTAGTTAATTACCACAGCCTCCACCAGACCGAGTATAGCACAACTAGATGGTGCCCGGCTACCA